AGAATGTAGATAATAATTTTTGGTTGTACGTAAAGGAAGACGATGAAACATTAATTAAAAAGCACAAAGAAGAACATTATAAATATTCTAAATTAAATGAACTCGAAATAATGGAAAGTGGATCTTTCATACCTTGTGATTCTGAGATTGTGATTGATAGAAAAAGCACACTTAGTACTCAACGCGAAGTTGAAAAAGTATCATATGTACATAAGGATTATATAGAAAATATTGTAGATACATTTACTGAAGAAGTATTAAATAAAAACTGCATTGCACATCCAATAAAGAAAGAAATTAATAAACTAGAAAGAACATATCTAAGAGATAGTAATCTTTTTAGCTTTGATTTTCAACCAGAATTGAAGGGTCACCCAGGACCAAGTCCTAGTTTAATTTTACAAGCTTTAACTATGTCTAATGCTAATGATGGAATCAATTTAGAACGTTTAGAAACTATTGGTGATTCTTTTCTCAAGTATGCAATAACAACATACTTATATTGTACTTATGACAATATTCATGAAGGCAAACTTAGCCATTTACGATCAAAACAGGTGAAGTATTATTTCAATGTTATAATGTAAATTTTTTTTTTCTTTTCTTTTCTTTTCTTTTATTAATATCTAATATATTTTTCAGGTTAGCAATTTAAATTTATATAGATTAGGAAGACGAAAAATGTTAGGTGAAAGTATGATAGCCACAAAATTTGAACCACATGATAATTGGTTACCACCTTGTTATTATGTTCCAAAAGAACTTGAGCAAGCTTTAATTGAATCAGGTGTACCTTCTGCTCTTTGGAATCAAGCTGACATTCCAACTTTGCAGACAGTAAATCTAACTGAAATAACTCAGTTAGTTAAAGAAACAGAACAAAAGCTTGGTATTATGAAAAGTGAACTGGATAAAAACGAGAGTAAATTATCAAATAGTATAGATAATTTGCGTTGTTTTATACCTTACAATTTAATTACACAGCACAGTATTCCTGATAAAAGCATAGCAGATTGTGTAGAAGCATTAATTGGTGCTTATCTAATAGCATGTGGTCCAAGAGGTGCTCTTTTATTCATGGCTTGGTTAGGGATTCATGTTTTACCTACGGAAGAAATTTGCATTGTACAAGAAAATGAGCCAGAAGATAAAATTCCAGGAAGCACGCCTTATCTAAAAAGTGTTAAGGAAGATAACCAAACCACTTGGACACGAGTTAGTATAAAATTTGAAAAACTAAATAATTTATAATAATTAACTATATTAAATTTATATTTATTTAAATTTATATTCTAATAGATTCAATATGGCAAATTAGAAGAACCACAAAATCCATTAATTCGTTACATTCCTGATCCAGAGTCTGAATTAAAAATGATGCTTGATGGATATGATGAATTAGAGAAAAGTATAGGATATAAATTCCATGACATCAGTTATCTTTTACAAGCATTTACACATGCGTCTTATCAGCCAAACAGATTAACAGATTGTTATCAACGTTTAGAATTTCTTGGAGATGCTGTTTTAGGTATTTATCAATTTGAAACAATATTTAATATCTAATATATCATAAATCTTTATAATTTATTTTAGATTATTTAATAACAAGGCATTTGTATGAGGATTCTCGACAGCATTCACCAGGTGCTTTGACAGATTTAAGATCAGCATTGGTAAACAACACAATATTTGCTTCATTGGCTGTCAGATGTGGATTTCATAAATATTTTCGTCATCTTTCTCCTGGTTTAAGTGTTGTAATAAATCGCTTTGTGAGAATTCAAGAAGAAAATGGACACTCTATTAGCGAAGAGGTATATATATATATATATATATATATATATATATATATATATATATCTTTTTTAATACTTCAAATAAAATTTAATTAATAATGATATTATATTTATATTCATGATTTAAATAATATGTTTTCTCATAAATAGTATTATTTAATCGGAGAGGATGAATGCGAGGAAGCTGAAGACGTTGAAGTGCCAAAAGCCCTAGGGGATGTTTTTGAATCATTAGCTGGTGCAATTTATTTAGATAGCGGTATGTCTCTTGATGCTGTTTGGGGTGTTTATTATAATATAATGAAATCAGAAATTGGTAAGTAATTTTATTATATTTCCTCTTAAGAAAATGTTTATATGAACTTCACGATGTTTCTATTTTCAGAACAATTTAGTACAAATGTTCCTAAATCTCCAATTAGAGAATTGCTAGAATTGGAACCCGAAACAGCAAAGTTTAGTAATCCAGAAAAATTGGCTGATGGACGCAGAGTGAGAGTAACAGTTGATGTTTTTGGTAAAGGTTCCTTTAAAGGAATCGGAAGAAATTATAGAATTGCCAAATGTACAGCAGCTAAATGTGCTTTAAAAAAATTGAAGAAGATACAAAATAATCCAAAGGGGAAACTTTGATGTCATTTATAATAATAAAAATAATAATAATAATAAGTAAGAAATGTGTATGTGATAAAAATTAAATCAATTTAAAAAGCTTTAAAATATATTAATAAGAAGAATTAATAATTATTATTTTATATAAATATTATTATTTTTAATGAAATAATCGACAAAATCATATATACTTTATACTTTATGTATATATATATATATATATATATTTTTCATCAAACAAGAAAATTGTACTTCAGTTGCTGATCGCGTTTAACGTAATTTTAAAATCAATGATCGTGGTTACGAAATAAGATGATTATTTTGTAATCAAATAGATTATTTTAAAAAAAAGATAAAATCGCGAATTAATATCAGTGCATTTCTCGAAGATATTTTATAATTCTATTATATACAATATATTTATCTATCGAATTATAATTAATAATATATAAAATGTAAGTACTTTAATGTTTAGTTCGAAATGGAAAGAGAAGATTTTGGAAACGTAAATGAAATATGCAGCCATTCGCTCGATAGTACTTGAATAATATAATCTGAATATAAATATATTCGATATGTCACAAGTACTATCGACCCAGGTCTCACCACATGGAGGTTGCTGCATCTGGAGGCCCATAGAATTAAAGGTGACTATATTCTAATATCCGCATTCGCGATATTGGATAATCTAATTATTAGGATTAGATTAGGATTAAATAATCTAATCGAATTTTTAAGTAAATAAAACGAAATCCCCGTCCCCTCCCGCCTCCCGGGAAGCGGGGGCGGGGCCTGTGCTCGCTGATATGCGCGCGCACAAGTATTCTACCTATTCTTCCTATATTTTCGATGATAAAAATCGATGATAAGCCGAACCATTCACACAATACATCGGATTCATTCGAAAATCTATCGCTCGATAATCCTTTCATGATCCTTCCATGATCCCTCAAAAAAGAAGAAGAGAAAGAGAAAAAAAATACACGATGCTGAAATAGTAATCCACACGAAGGCTCAAATCCATGCGGGCCCATTTCATGGGTCCTACTTGAAACTTATAAGTAATAATTAATAAGAATAAATAAGAATAACAAGCGAATATAAGTGTATTAGAATAGTTCTCCCATGCATTTCTCCTAAGATATTATTTAAAAATTTGATAATATATTCGATCCATTTATCTATTGAAGTACGATTAATAATGTAAAATGGAAATATGTTAATGTGTTAATAGAAATAGAAAGGATTTTTTTCTTTCTCGTATTAGAAAGAAAAGATTTTGAAAAAAAGGATTGAGATATGCATCCATTCATTCGATAATACTTGAATCTCATAAGATTTCGATATATCACAAGTAATATCGATCTAGGTTTCACCATGTGGACGTTGTTGCATTTAAAAATCTATTTTATGGCCTCTAAAAATGTAACATTTAATACGAAAATTTCAATCGGTCTATATATTAAAAATTGTCAATTTTAAATCGATAATATATGATAGTAGTAGTATATATATATATGATCTATATAACGTTGCTAAGAATATCCTATTGTTTTAATATTAATTAATTTATAACTTTATATTATATCATTTAAATATTAAGTAAACTAATTTTATTTATTAATTACTCCTTTTCGAGTTCGTGAATCCACAATTTTCTTGAAATTAGCTGACATAAAATAAGAAATGAAAAAAAAATTATGTATATATGTGTATTATTAATATGAAAGATAAAATTCTGAATTTAATTTAATTTAATTTAACTTAAGAAAAGTAAAATAAAATGAAAAGTTCTGAATAATGATCTAAAAAAAAAAAAAAAGAAAAAAAAAACTATTCACGAGTAAATCTCCGAAGAAAAATAATTCGTATCACTGTTATAATAAAAAAAACTGTATATAAATTATTTAAGAAATGTATGATATAGAAATATATTTACTTTAATTCTTCGTTGACACTTGAAGGAAAGATATCCCGAAAGAACTTCGAAGTTTACTCATCGAGGAACACAAAGGAGAACTGAACCGATAACAATTATAGTCAGTTAAAAATTTGTTGCTGATAACGTTGTACGTAATAAATGACGTTGAGATACAAATTTTTAAGTATTGAAATTAAAAATGATAATTACTTCAAGTTTCTCTCACTTCTATGATCTTTGTAATGTTTAAACGAATGTATTTATTATTTAAATATTAGTTCAATGTATTAGTTTAGCGTACATTATATATTGTTTAAATAATTATAAAATTATCAAAAGTATTAATTTATAAATATTCATTTTTAGAAAAAGAGAGTATCGATGATAGCACGTTGGAATACGAATGAAAACTAACTCGCACAAATCATCAAAGTTAATAGAAAGAAATTGTTTATGTTTATATATTGTACAAGGTCAACAATCCCGAAATACAAATTTTAAAGTATTGAAATATCAAACACACGTGTGTGATAGATTTGTAAAAACATACGAAAAATAAAATACACCAATGAACGAGGACTCTTTCATAAACACAGATTCTGATTGGTTAACTCTATATTTACGTTCTTGAACGCAAAAGAATGAGATAGTACCAAATAATCCAGAAATAAATTATCAGATTGGTAGACATGTTAGATTTATTTAATGTATTTTGTGAACATCATATAAAACGAAATACATCTCTAATTTAATTAAAAATTGAAATAGATTAAGAAAAAAAAAAAAGACGAAGAAGACTGATAAAGTGATTTGATGTAATGAGTAATGTTAATCATGGATTCGTTGCTGTACACGTGGGTAGGTTAATTACAGTTTTTATAAATGAAAAAATTTGGATCTTGTAAAGTAATAATATTTTTTTTTATAAAATATTATATGTATATTATACGTATATAATATATGATAGGTGCAGGACATCATTCCGATTCAACTAAAGACAAATATCAAAAATTATGTCGCGATGCGTGTAGAGCAGTAAGTTCTCAAATTTTCTATTTAGAAATTTCTAATTCTTCATTTAGAGATTTCTTATCATTATTTAATTATATATTTTAATCATAGAAAAATCTTTTAGGGTATACAAAATATTAAATCCGGTGGTAGTGCATTAGATGCAGTGGTTAATGCTACAATTGTGTTAGAAGATTCACCTTTAACAAATGCTGGATTTGGTTCTAACCTTACAGTTAACGGAACAGTAGAATGTGATGCTAGTGTTATGGACGGTACTAATTTGCAATTTGGTGCAATAGGTGCAGTTAGTGGTATCAAAAATCCTGTCTTCCTTGCAAAGCGTTTATGCGAACAACAATCAAAGAAAATTGGATATGGAAGAATTCCACCAAGGTATATTTAAAAAAATCTCTTATTTATAATTATTAATCAATATTAATTTATTATCATGACTTCTGTAATATATGTTTTGTTTTCTAATATATATATATATATATTTAAAAAGTTCAATTATTATAATAATTTTATATTAGTTTTTTGGTTGGACATGGAGCACATACATGGGCACAAGAAATGGGTATACAAATATTATCACCTGAACAGTTAATATCAAGTATGTGTAAATAATTAAGAGTGTTACTGTAACAGTAATATTTTATCTTTTACTTATTGTAATCATCTATCTATAGGAAAAGCAGAAAAAATATACAAGTATTACAAAAGACAAGTGGAAAATAGTGATGATGAAGTACATAAGGTATTGATAGGTAGTATTGTAATAAAAAAGGAGAAGAGGAATGATAAATACTTCATTAATTTAAGATTGTAAAAACTTTGTCTTACACTTGCAGTATGCTAAAAGACGATTGGATACTGTGGGTGCAATATGTGTAGATAAAAATGGGAATATAGCATCAGCTTGTTCTAGTGGTGGTATCATTCTTAAATATCCAGGAAGAGTAGGTCAAGTATGTAACTAATAGTTGATTGACTGATAATTTACAAAAATTTCATGACAATTTTCAATAATTTCATTTAATATTTGATACAATTATAATTGTCTCATTATTTTTGCTATTTTATTAATCAAGAGATTATATTACATGTTTTACCATTTTAGCTCTTAGCCTAATTCTTTTTAGGCTGGTGTATGGGGATGTGGTACTTGGGCATGTAAGGATAAGTATTCAGTTGGTACAAGTACATCTGGTTGCGGAGAACATCTTATTCGTACTACACTTGCAAGATCAATAGCAGAAGCAATTGTAAATACATCCTGTCCAACAACTAGCTTACATCAAGCTATGAAAACTAATTTTATAGGTTGAGACTATGATTAAATTAATATCTTTTAACGTTAATGATTCATATTTTAATAAAATTGATTATTTTTAGAATCTAGATTCTTAGATGGACTTGAAAAGAAATTAGGTGGAGTTATAGCAATTCGATATTCACCGCAAGAAAAACTTGGCGATTTTCTTTGGAGTTATTCTACTAATTCAATGATCATAGGCTACATGAATTCTAATGAACGGACATCAATAGTAATACATAAAAAAAATATTGCTTTCTTTAGAAAATATTAATTATTATATATAACACAAATATTTTATTTTAGAGTCATATGTCAGTTTTACCTACACGTGAAGTTGGAAAAAAAGCAGTAGTCGAAGGCGTTTGTTTTCGAATGTAAAAAAAATCAAAATTTTCATTAGAGCATAAGGACATATTTTATTGAACATAAAATTTCTTATCTGGTAAAGGAAAAAAACAAATATATGATAATTTATAATATTATATACGTAAAAAATTTGTACTATTGTTTGAAAATACATTTTATATATAAAACCGAGCAGTTAATATTAAAGTATATTGTATTTTGTAAAGCATTGATTAATTTACAAAAATATTCTATATGCAAAGTATATACTTTATATGATTAATAAGATATAGTGCTGCCGTCTATTTGTTGAGAGTGAACTAGAAGGCTGTTTTTGAAAGTTCCTATTGGTTATTGCTAGCAGAGTCTAAGATGGCTGACATCGACATTACCGCTAAGGAGGTTTTTATTAGTAATATTATAAAAATATTATATATATATACGCATTAGTTTATATTTATTTATATTTTATAAAAAATAGGGTCTCGATGCGCAGCAACCTCCACGCGGTGAGACCTGGGCAATCGATATTATTTGCGACAAGATCTAATATTTCTTCGACGTAAATACTGTCGAGCTAATCAGCTGCGTTTAATTATAATAAAATTTAATTTTCATTCATTATTTATTATTATTATGATCATATTAAATAATTAATTAATTGTGCCTTTCTTTATAAGATTAATTTAAATTTTTATTTGAAAAAATATTTAGAAATGTGTGTTTATTTAAAAAAAGCTCGTTATATATATCTATATGTATATATTCGATAATATAATTATAATGGTTTATTACATGTTCTTTATACTAATAATGTTAATTTACTTTTTATATGATAATTATTCGATACAATGATGTATTAAGGATCGTAATCCTAATTGCGTAAAATCGTTGTATTAGTTACAAACAATAATCATTGCAAGGTACTTTTATAATTGACTTTACTGAAGGACAGAAACAATTTTAAAAGGAAGATGGTTTACTGCACTAATACTCTTAAAATATTTATATATATATATATACATATATATATATATATATACATACATATATATATATATATATATATATCTACAATCACATATAAGTCATAAATGTTAATTATTTAGATAATTATTAAGATGTAAAAAAGATCAAGAAAAATGTATAAAATGTATATACTACTTCAAAGAAGTCTGTATGTATGTTGTGTATATGTATATAGATATATAAAACTAGAATACCATTTATTATTTTTTAATAAATATAAATGTATCTTTAAAAATAAATTATTTTTGTTGTACATAGTTTCAAAGCCAATGAAGTACTTGCATGTCTTACATTAGTTCTCCATATCAATAATCAAGATGTCAAATATTACAAATCTTGGTCATTTTCTTTACAACATAATTTACTATATTTAAAAATAGAATAATATAAAAAAAACTTGCTAACGTAACTTGTCATATTATAACTTGTTGTAAAAGTATGGAAAGATTTTTGAGTTATGAATTCTTCTGGATAAATTATAAGAAAATTATTACAGAATATACGTGTCATATAATGTAGATATTTATCACAGACAGAGTTTAAATTTAAAAATGAAATCGCAATGAAATCAATTTTATGAATAGAAGGGAGTATAAGGATAGTTGCATTATATATATATATATATATATATATATATATATATATATATATACATATATATATATATATATATATTTACTCTTGTAAAATTGTCATGTAGAAATATTGAGCATTTAAACAATTGTACTTTTCCATCTAAGGTTATAATAATACACTAACTACTTTTCTTTCTCTTTCGCTTCGGATATAAGATTAACATAGGATTATTTACATTGTAATCTGATTAATTTCCATTGCGATTTCATATTGAATGTTAATAAAGATATATGAGTGTGAAAAACATAATTATAACAATTCATAAATCTTACAACATAATTATTTCCATGGAAAGCTAATTAAATAATGTGATGTGTCTTGCCGTAGTACTTGGAAAAATCATTACCTAATTATTATTATGCTATCTCATCATTTGTCGAAATCTATCCAATTCAAATATACTTTCTGATAATCTAAAAAAAAAAAAAATGATACAAAAAAAAAAATATACATACATATATATACGCATATAAAATATTCATATATCAATTTTATATGAGGTAACGCATTATAAATCTTACCTTCCAAATCCATTAATGAGAGCTACAATTTCGCTTCTTTCTAAGAAGAATTGTTTTCTAGTAAAATTATGAAGGGTCGATTCCCATTTATCAAATTTTCCAGAGAATAAAATTTTTAATGCTGTTCCTAAACCTTGTATTTGCAATTTACCCCATAGTTTACATTTATCGCATCCAACACAATCCATTATGCGTGAAATATTTCTGAAATGTTGTCTAAATTCTTCTTTTAATATCTGTGCATGAATACCTCCAGAAAACATAACTGTTTCATTAAAATGTTCAGGAAATGATCTAAAATAATACATGTATAATGATTTGCATTTGCCATTATAGATTTCGTATAAAACAAATATTATGTTTAGAAAACTAACTGAACAATTTGTAGAACATCGTCTATAGCCAGACGTGTCTCTTTATCGTCAACATCATTACCAGTATAATATTCTTCTCTTTTTAAATAAGGGGCAGCTTTAGCAAGAGCCCTTAATTCAAGTAAATAAATGAAATATAAATTTTTCAACCAATTAGGTCCTTCACCACCAGTTGTTTCAGATGAAAATCGCCTTTGTAATTCTGATAGATTAGGGCCCCATTTTGCATTTGATACAATATTTAAGCAATCTTGTGAAGATAATAAATATTTTGAACATAAATGAATATTAATACTTGCATGCAAACCCGAAATAACACGATAGAAAACCCTTTTTTCTAAACACATTCCTATAATATATAAAACAATTTAAATAGGTGTTTATGAGGAAGCATTACATATAAAATTAAATATAATTATGAGACAAGGAAAAAAAACATACCATTCATTTTAGAAGATTGTATAAAATTATGAGGAGAATTTTTAGGTCTAAAACAAAAATATGAAAAAAATAATGAACAGATGAAATTTTATCAATGAAATAAAATTGTTATGGACGCATACCTAAAACAATTTTCCATATAAATACTTCGCCATATTCTATGCGCGCTTGGTCCTTTATATCCTGTATATCGTTCAGGATTAAGTAAAAGATCAACATATTCACCGGGACTAGATTCTTTCACACAAAAATTATCTTGAGCATCATCATATTGTTGCCAACGTTCAAATTCTTTATAATTTTCTGAACTAAAAAAAAAAGAAAAAAAAAATTACATATATACAATGATAATTAATATTAATATAATTATACATTGATAATCATATTAATATAATTTATTTATATTACCTAATAGTGGTATTTAAATAACCCAATTCCATATTATGATCTTTCGCATTTTGATTACAATTTGCCAATTGTAAGGATAATTTATATTTATCTGCTGGACTTTCATTGAAATGTAAATTTCTTGGAATTTCTCCTTTTAATCCTTCTGGAATATCATCCTATGACAAATAATAGGAATAGAATTTTCTTATTCATTCGTTACATCTACATTTACTATTTATAATTTGTACAATATAATGATATACAATTGAATAAATTAAAATATAAATTGCTTACATCATGACAAGGTTGTACATGACAATAACGTATAGCACATTTACTGTCATCAGCCCAAAAAGGACATTCTTGTTTTAAGTTCACTTTGTAAAATCTAAAGTAATCCTTTAACAAAAGACTTTGCAATCTGGGATATATTTTTACATTGTTAAAATAATCCACTGTATCAACATTACAGCTACAATCATCAATCGATCCCTTTAACTGAAACAAAAATGATAATATTAATAATACTGAAATAGTTTAATCTTCAAAATAATTCCTTATTGACATTATTGAATAGAATATTATTTTTTTAAAGTTGAAACAAAACCGATCTTATGCACTTTCAATCTATAACAATTTTTATCAGTAGATTTTTATTGTCCGACTTTTCTATATATGTATACATATACATATATACATACATATGTAAACATATAAATACATATATATATATATATACTGCGTTTTTTCAAAATATTGGTTGATTTATTACTATATACATATATATATATGTATATATATATATATATATGAGGAAGTATACGATACAAAAAAAAGTAAATCTTTATCAAATGTCATTTTACAAAAATGTTAAAAATACCGCTTAAATATAACCATAAAGGATAGAAATATCACAAACAATAAATCGCAGACAAGAAGAACTGTGACATAGAGAATATGTTAGGGATATTAAAAAAAAAAGAAAAAAAAAAAGAAAAAAGAAAATTGAAGATATAAAGAGCATATGATATCGGATAAAAATAATCCCTTCTTAATCATTAACATATCTAATAGGTTATGAATTTGATATCTTTAATCACACGTATTAACAATGAATTCGTGACTCGAAGTCCAACATCTTTTTATACACACACACACACACACATATATATATATTCTTTTTTGTTTTATATACGATTTACCTTGCAAAAACACTGATCGTCTTTATCCGCATTAGTTCCAAAATAATTGCCTTTGACAATGACATTGGCGTTGAAATTTGTTAATATAATTAGAAAAACTAATGTCGAGAATAACATTATTTGCGTGGAAGAGTTCAACATCGTTATTTCCATTATGATGTGTTCTAACGGTACGAACGAATATATACATTGACGTATATCTCCCTTTCTTTCCTTCTTTTTTTTTTTTTTTTTTTTTTTTTCACATCGGTCGAACAACGCGACAACGACGACTACACAACGACGACGACGACGACGACGACTCAACGATATATTATAATCGTTTGATCTTTAATATTATTTCTCAGAAATTCATAACTTCTTTTCCTCGAACGCTGTCTACGTGACGATTAACAGTTAGGATATTTAAGGGGAGACAAAATTTCGAGCGAACGCGCCGCGAATGTTTCACCGAATCCGATGCTTTTACACGCTGATTAGTCGCGTGCTGTCAAAAAGAGAGAGAAACCGATAACCTATAATGAAGATGAAAAGAGAGAGAGAGAGAAAGAGAGAGAGAGAGAGAGAAATGGTGGGAGGTAACTAAGCGTAGTAATAGTATGAGATGATAAGGTGAGGTAACGGGAAAGAGGGGGAAGAAAAAGTGGGTGGACCTGATTTAGGAAGGTCAACACGATTAAAGCATAGAAAAGATCGATGCGAATCAATATATACTATTTCGTCCGATTTATTTTTCTATTTCTTTTTTTTTCCCCTTTCTTTTACTTTTTTTTTTTTTTTTTTTTTTTCACATCATCGACAATATTTCTCATCGATTTTCGTAAAAATATTAATAAATAATATTATCGTTTTATAATAGAGAATGACAACGTTGTTAAACGCATATAGATAAACGCACGTACACTTTGTTATTCCCCCACCATTTTTTCGAAAAAATATATTGGATTAATCCGTTTGAATTACGTGTTCGTACTCTATCCGTCGATTTTTATCAATGTATGCAATGTATCCTTTTAGAGAAAATTCGTTTCTGCCACGTTACTCCTATATATACATATACATATATATATATATATGAATATAGTTATCTACTTGTCAAACTTCTTTCTGAGCTAATAATCATTTTTAAATGATCTTCGTATTTCTTGAAATTTTAATATAGAAAATAAAAGAAATATATTTATATTTTTAGAAATATATGATAATGTACATACGTATATTCAACGAGTTGTTGTGCTAAGTTAAATATAAAATTAATTTTTAGAGACTACGTCAATTGACCACGATCCTTGCCAATAATTTTATTTCAATCTATATAGAAAATATTTTATATTATTATTATTAAATCGTACCAATTGTTTTAATTGAATCTTATAAAAATACATACATGGAGAGAGAAAAAGAGAGAGAGAGAGAGAGAGAGGGAGAGAGAGAGAGAGAGAGAGAGAAGAGAAAAGAAAAAAGATAATCTTTTTGATAATTAAATATAAATAACAGATGTTAGTATGATCGTACACATCAGATGTATTGCAATATCGTTACCACCAAGGCCATTGTTATTTAATTTATGATATTTTATTATATGTGTTTCGATTTGATTTGATGTAGGTTTTTTATTTTAGATCATTATCAGTTGAATGAACATAACGATTGGTTCAGTGTAATCAGGATTTTTTTTGAATAACGTCGATAGTAATAACGTCGTGAACAACATCATATCGTCTCCATTTTGAGGATTATTTTTCTTCGTTGGATTTGTAATTATTTTTTTCTCTTTTTTTTCTCTCTCTCTCTCTCTCTCTCTTTCTCTTTCTACGCTTTTACACGACGTTTTTTTCAGTCTTTTTTTTTTCTTTTTCTCTCTCTTTTTTTTCTTTTTTTTTGTTCTCTTTTTAATTTTTTTCTTTTTCTTTTTTTTTTTATTTTTTTTTATTTTTTTAAATATTTTACTACATTCAAATACAAATATATTTTCCTTGTCTCGAGATTTTGGCCTTCGATATATCGATCATTGAAGATCGTTCGACATACTCGATTGTAAGCAAATCAGAGCTGTTGTGAACAATGGCGACGTTTCGACTAAAGTGACATCCTGCTGGGCAAATGTGTTTTTACACTTTAACGATAACATTCTTTTCTAGATATTAGTTACGGTCTTTAGGTATTAGCGTTAAAGATACTGCGGTTCACGATGGCATTAAACGCTAACGCACTGTCCAGTGACATAAGTCGTAGAAATCCGCAGGACGAGTATGAGCTCATTCAACGAATAGGCAGTGGAACTTATGGAGATGTTTACAAGGTTTACTGTTTAAATAATTATTCTTTTAATTGTCATTATTTTTCCGTTACGTTATTATCATTATTATTTTCATAGGCTAAAAGATTATCGATGAACGATCTTGCCGCCATCAAGGTTATCAAATTGGAGCCAGGTAAGACCAATTATGGTACATTACCCTGTACTTGAGACATTATGCAAATATCATATCTCTATTTATCAAATTTTTCATTTGATTCATTATATTACATAATACTCGTCTTATATACTTTCAATTATATTAATGGCAATAAAACAATGATAATATTTGTATAATTTTTAAAAATATAATTGATACTTAATTATCAGTTAATTATTTCTAATCTATGGTATTTATTACTTTTTCTATTTTTTTTTTATTCTTTTATTTTTTTTTTAAAGGTGATGATTTTGCTATCATACAGCAAGAAATCTTAATGATGAAAGATTGTAGACATCCCAATATCATAGCATATTATGGCAGCTACTTGAGAAGGGACAAATTATGGATATGTATGGAATATTGTGGGGGTGGATCATTACAAGATATTTATCACAGTATGTCTATATTTTTTCAATATTACCTTAATCATTATAATATGAAATTGTAGTTTATATAGTTTTCTTTCCTTTTTTCTTTTTTTTTTTTCCTTTTTTCTTTTCTTAATTTATAAGCAGTGTGTTTGGTTTTGTAGTAACTGGACCATTATCAGAAATACAGATAGCGTATATGTGCAGAGAGACTCTTATGGGATTAGCTTATTTACATAGTATGGGAAAAATGCATCGTGATATAAAGGGTGCCAATATATTATTAACTGAGGCAGGTGATGTCAAATTAGCCGATTTTGGAGTATCCGCTCAAATTACTGCAACAATAAATAAAAGGAAAAGTTTTATAGGTACTCCTTATTGGATGGCACCTGAGGTATGTACTAATATAAGTGATTGTAATAAAATATTGTAATCTTTTTTTTTCTTCTTTTTTTTTTTAATTCTTGATTAGGTCGCAGCAGTAGAAAGAAAGGGTGGGTACAATCAATTGTGTGATATTTGGGCTTGTGGTATAACGGCGATAGAATTAGCAGAATTACAACCTCCTATGTTTGATTTACATCCAATGAGAGCTTTATTCTTAATGTCCAAATCTGGTTTTAAACCTCCAACATTAAAAGACCGTGACAAATGGAGTCCAACGTTTCATAATTTTGTCAAAGTTGCTTTAACTAAAAATCCTAAAAAGAGGCCAACGGCAGAAAAATTATTGCAGGTTAATTTTGCATCTTTAAATATAATAAATACTTTTGGAAAAATAATTCACAATATTTTTACCTTTCCTTTTTTTTCTTTTTTTTTTTTTTTTTTTTTTTTTTTTCTTTTTTTTTACAGCATGCATTTTTTCAAGGAGAAATGAATAAACGATTGGCTTTGGAATTATTGCAGAAGGTATCAAATCCTAGTCATATGTTCACCGATTTAGAAGCTGATGAAGATGGAGCAGTACCTAATGTACCACAAAGAATTGCTTCAAGGCATACAGCAAGACCTAGGCCAAAAAGCCCCATATCGCAATTAGATAGTGACGGTAAATATTTATCAAGAGTATATTAATTGATGTTATATCAATAGATATAAATTATGATTATCATTTATTATAAATGTGTAAATTATAGATTTAATTAATCTCGATGGAAGTACATTACAAAGAGATTCTATAACTCCTTCGGTAGACACTAATCCAGCGTGGGATATTATGGATATAATGAATAATGTGAAGGTAATTTAATTGGGTATAATTGACAAAAAAACGATATATTTAGAGCATGAATAAATTGGAAATTTTGTTGTTGAATTGAATTTAATTTTTACATTTAGGCGGTACATAATTGTGATGTTCATCCTGACTGTGGAATTGGCACTGCATTTGAAGATGTACAAGAAAAGTAAGTTACATGAAATATTTCTTTCTTTTCACATTATATATTTTAATTTCTCTTCTTTTATATATATATATATTTACATATATATATCTATATATTTACCGTCAGAAGATGTGGAAAGGGTTACAGCTTATCAATCACTTCCACTAATATGGTAAATGCTGTTTTGTTTGAGTTTTTTTGATATAGTTATACTTGTGTTGTATGCCAAATCTTTTTATTAAAATTTGATAGTTTAATGTTTTCTTGTTATTATCAAATACAGTTTTTCACATACATCCACTAATCTTCATGAGTAAGTACATTGATTGATAGAAAATATATTTAGGCATGCATTCCCAGTTTTGTTAATATCCATGTTACATGTTGAAATTTATTAAACAAAACAGCAATTTTATATAATATAACAGAAATTTTAGCTACTCTGTGGCTGATGCTAATATTCGTTTATAGTTGCACATAGCACGTTTGCTTATGCTTTGCATTGTGTAAGAGCGTCAATGAATACTATTAATTTCTCAAATTCATGTAACTTATTTTATACATTTAAAAAAAAAAAGAAAAAAAAGGAAACAAAGAGAATAACGGGATCAATTATATATGCTTATTCTTATTGTTTAAAAAGTGATATAATTTATCTCTGTATTCTGTATTAGTACACTTGGCGCAAATGTTACTGAAGGTAACAGACGATCACGCCGAAGCAAAACTGGCACAGAGATATTTCATATGAGTTTAAGGTAAAATACAAAATACAAAAATTGGCTTGGTGTGAGACAGAGTCATAATTTATAAAATGAGTCATTCAAAATTTATTTTGATCAGAAAATGTAATTAACAAATATTATAAATATAAAGTTTTTATATAAAAATATAAGCTTTTAAATATTAATTATTTATTAAGTAATATTTAAAGCTTTTCATTCTTTGAAAATTTTTCTTTCATATGTATGAAATGCATGTTAAATTAACTACTGAATATGGAACAAATAATATGTACAAATAATGATCTTACACATATATAAGCGAAGTTTTTATTTACATACAAAAGATGTGCTTTTTGCATCATTTATATAGATGAAATATTTTTAACTTTTTGATAATATTACTCTGATTAGCGAGAGTACAAGTTTTAATATTAGTGGATGATTATTGCATGATGTATGATAATAGTTTATGCTGTATCATATTGCATTTATATTGCATGTTAATGATTGTCAATTTAAGAAATGATTTCTGTTATAAATTTTGTTTCAGTAAGTATAATCATCTTGTATAATTAATGTATATATTTTAATTACAATTTAAATATCACTCATCAAGAATTTATTTTTTCTCTTATTCATTTATGAATACTCTTTCTAAATAAGAATGTTAAGTTATATTTTTGTGAAGAATGTAAATAATTAGAACAAATACAATTTCATAGTTTAGAAAATTTTTTTCAATCGATAAAATTTGATTAATTAATAATATTTATAACATGACAATCATTATCACTTCTTTCTGATATATGTAACAATGTATTTAGTTTTGTCACTTAGTCGAATTATATATTCTTTGTAGTATTAATTTTTCTGATCAGTTTGTAATTTTAATAATTTCTCCCTACAGGAGTCTATTGCAGTACATTGATGAGGAGTTGTTGCTAAGGTATTGGCAGGTAACCCTTCTCCCTTGCACCTTGCACCTTGCACCTTGCACTTACTCTCTTTCCTAATACATATATTAATTTAATTGTGCATCATATATTTAATGATAGATTACAATAGATTGTAACATCATATACTTGTCCTTTCTGTAGATCATGTATACATTTATACAAATATGTTCACATACATTTTCCTTCTGTTGGTGATGGTTTAATATATAAGACAATACTTGAGAGATGAATAAGATTTTTAAGAATATTTTAATGGAATGGAAGTAATGAGGAAAGATCTTGTACATATATAATATGATTTATATATTGTTTAAATTTATTAAATAATATTTTCATATCTATCATATATATATATATATATATATATAAATCTGATAGATATATTTTACATTGATAATTGCATGATAATTTTCGTTATTTATGCTTTTGCTTTGAACCTTGGCATTAACCATATTGGTGGTGGAAGTTTGTATATTTATTGCAAAAATGTTATGTGCTTATCAAATGATATACACACGATGTAAAAATATTATTTCGATTTGATATATTATCTAACAGTAACTAATTGGATCATATTTATAAAATCAGAATATGAAGCTAACAAGCAGTATTAAGATCTATATTTGTAGTTTATTTTTACAAAATAAAATCTAAAATAATTTAAATTAAATCAGAATGATAACAGAAAAGTTTACAGAAATAAAAAATGTGTTTATTCCATTTGCAATTATTTTGTAGTATATGACCATAGTTTCATATGTGCAGGGGAAATGCAATGTCGATGGTTGGTGGGCATTGCGATCAGCTATACTCCCTGCAGTAAGTAAATGATAATGATAAATTATTGTAAAATGTTTTATTTTCTAGTTTCTTATATTTTCATTTATATAGATATAAATATGAATGTAGAAATATTTCTATGATAATTGATCAAAAGTTTAAATAGAAACATTTTAAAATCATGCCTGAAAAATATATCACGTACACACATCATATTAAAATATTTCATATTACTAACATAGCTGATATTAAGTAGGTAAAATCAATGATTGGGGTAAGAATGTTAAGCAAAATATTATTTATATTAATTCATATTATATTATCAGAAGAAAATATTTATATTAATATTATTGTTTCAATATAAATTCACGTCTATCATATGTCATAGGATTTTTAAATATATTTCGTATTATTAGCATAAAATTTATATTTGCTTGCAATTATTTTTCTGATTATATTTATTTGTTTTCTTTTTCTTTTTTTTCTTTTTTTTTTCTTTTTTTTTTTTTTTTTTTTATGAAGCATCGCTAAAATATGTTCAAAATACACACTGCTTTTTTTGGCTCTTAACACATTGCTGCATTCTTTTACTTTAAAAAAATTTTTTTTATGCAAACAATGCATTATTTTTATGCAAAATTTATTGAAAATGTTAAATTGCTTGTCTATTAATTTGAAGTGTCAGGTACTAATACATATTTTCATTGAATGTATATCATATGCAACCTATTAACAGAAAAAAAATATTCTTTGCACTAGTTTGTTTTAAAGAATTTTTTATTGTTGCATAAGATATAATAATAATAATGTTAATTAACAATTATATATTTTTAGGGCAACACTTCCGCTTGGAGAATCTTCAAACGAGTGCGAGGTACATTGTGGATACTACAATAATGTATCTGGTAAGTAAAGGAAATAAGTTTCAAAAGATAAGAATTTATCAATTAGTTTAAAAATAAAAATGTAATATATATATATATATATGTGTGTGTGTATATATATATATGTATATTATTATAGTAATATATATTATTAAAGAAGTATAGAGAAAAAAAAATTTGTTGCATAGGGTCTCAAGCAAGTCCTAGACGTCACAGTTCTGTAGACGAGTTATATGGCCTGGTAAACAGTTCTCATTCCTTAACAGCTGTGAATGGGCAACGTCAAAGGTCACTTTCAGATAGTGGTCCTAGAGATGAATCTCTACAATCTAATGGTAGCAGCATGTGTTTTTATTCAAAATATATTTGTAAGATATTTATATGAAAGTTAGCTACATTGATAAAAATGTATTTTAAGGGGATAATGAAATATCAGGAGATGGGGAAAGAGAAAGTATTAGTCCGGATCTTTTATCAGATACACCACCTGTACCACCAAGAAGAAGGGATAGAAAAAGGCATACACCTCCAAGACCTATAAGTAATGGATTGCCACCAACTCCGAAGGTTCATATGGGAGCATGTTTTTCAAAGGTAGAAATTAATAATTGTTTTTTTTTTTTTTCCTAATATAAAAATATATTCCTTTACATATGCGTTATTTATAAATTTTCTTTTATTAAAGGTATTTAATGGTTGCCCTTTGAGAATACATTGTACAGCTAGTTGGATACATCCTGATACAAGAGATCAACATTTACTTATTGCTGCAGAGGAAGGAATTTATAATTTAAACTTAAATGAACTCCATGAAACTGCAATAGATCAATTGTATCCTAGACGTACAATTTGGATGTATGTTATCAAGGATGTCCTAATGTCCTTGTCCGGTAAAATTTTCATTTGCCTTTCTAATAGATATTTAATTTTACTTTGATTATATCTTTCAAAGTATTTTGTAAAAGATTAATAATTTTCATATTTTATAGGAAAAACACCTCAATTATATAGACATGATTTATTAGCAATGCAGAGCAAACAGACTCATAGGTTCTCATTGCATATGAACAAAATACCCGAGAGATTAGTACCTAGAAAATTTGCACTTACTACAAAAGTACCAGATACTAAAGGTTGCACTAAGTGTTGCGTAGGAAGAAATCCATATAATGGGTGAATCATATAAATTTAATTTTCAATCATTTATTATATAAATATAAATTCAATTGTTTGCTTTATAATATTATTAATACCTTAGATATAAGTACCTTTGTGGGGCAATGCCAGCAGGAATATTTTTAATGCAGTGGTATGATCCTTTAAACAAATTTATGCTTTTAAAGCACTTTGATTGTGCTCTTCCATCACCTTTAAATATATTTGAAATGATTATTACACCTGAAATGGAATATCCAATGGTGTGTGTATCAGTCAAACAACCATATCAACAAAATAAATTAAAATTGGATTTAATTAATATGAATTCTGGAGCAAGCTGGTTCCATAGCGATGAGTTAGAGGATATGGATGGTTCAGGTAATCCTTTATTTCAAATCTTTTGAGATAATTGTTTTATATTCAAATAAAAATAAACAATTGATATTGGATTTTTAGCAACTGTGATACCGAGAAGAGAAAATCTTCATGTCATTAATGTGACACAACTTGAAAAGGATGCAATACTTGTGTGTTATGAAAGTAAATAATCAATATTCCATATAATTGTAACAAATGAATCTACAATATAATATTCTCATATGATATTTTTCATTTAGATGTAGTTAAGGTGGTTACGTTACAAGGAAAACTCAGGGTAAGCAAGAAGCAGATGTCGGAACTGCATTTCAATTTTCAGATAGAATCAATTAGTAAGTAATATAAATTATGATAATTAATTATTTTTTTTAAAAGCCAATATCAATTATTAATTGTTATTTTCTATTTGTTATCAGTTTGTTTACCAGATAGCGTATTGGCATTCCATAAACATGGTATGCAAGGTAGAAGTTTTAAGAATGGTGAAGTTACACAGGAAATTAGTGATCCAAGCAGAACATATAGGTTACTTGGTTCGGATAAGTATGTATATAGTGATAAAAGTTTAGAAAATTTTCAAAATAGACATTATGCGGAATATAAATCAATGATCTTATGTGACAGGGTTGTAATGTTGGAAAGTCATTTGGTTCACACAGGCACATTGACAGAGACTGAAGGAGCAGATTTATATATACTTGCTGGGCATGAAGCCAGTTATTGAGCATCCTCTCTTTCATCTTATTATGTAAATAAACAAGCCTATCATGCCGCAAGTGAATTGTGATTCACTGTTGATTACATACAAATGCAATGATTTTACTGAAAAGAATGTTGGAAATTGGTAAGAGAAAATGATTATTATTAGTTTTCCTGATTACGAGTCACAAAAGACGTGACGTGATATATTAAGGAGATGTGTACACCAATGAACATAATTTACTCAATACTATCTTGAATATAGTTGATGTTATGTAGACTAGTACACTGGCCAAAACAGTTTCTAAAATTAGGTATTTCCTTCAATAAACGTGGACAATGTCGTCGTAGTTGAACGAGATACCAAATTAGTTTAAAGCATGTCGCAATTAAAAGTAAAAACGAAAAAAAAGAAAAAAACAAAAAAAGTATATCCAAATGTGCCCTTTTGCCTGACAAAACAAAGCTTATATTATTTAAATGCTTTTCTTTCTTTCTTTCTTTCTTTCTTTCTTTCTTTCTTTCTTTCTTTCTTTTTTTTTAAATTGCGTATTTTTTTCATAATATAGAACGCAATTGACTCATATATATATATATATATTTCTTTTTTAATTTTCTGTATATTTCTTTTTCTTTTAGCATGTAACTAACAGAATTCGTATTTATTTATTTAGAATAAGTATAAATATAGTGATGAAAAACAAATGTTAGCTTATATTTTTCGAAAAAAGAATGATACTTTCTTTCTAAGATTATGAGAATTATATGCAATGTCTACTTACAGCAAGCTTGCCATATTATACATAATATTCTTTAACGTCTGTAAATTTCGTCTAATACTTATTCGATGTAGTTACAATAGCACGTATATATGTATATATATATATATATATATATATATAAATATATATATAAATATATATATATATATATATATATATATGTATATATATTACATAATTTAACTAATTATAGAGAGAAGAAAATACAACGATTTAGATACGAAATATTAAGCGAATAAATGGTATAGTTCATCAATTCTAAAAAAAAAAAAAAAGAAAAAAAAGTAATACAGCATATATATGTATATTTTTCTGGCAGGAACTATATAATGTTATTTTCAATAACACAATAATTATATAACGTTAAAGTAACATTGAAATAACCATTAGTACAAACCTCTTTTATTAAAGTTTTATTATTATAAATCGAATAATATAGAATGTATACTCCCCCGGTATAAGTTTTGGCTTGATAGGCATAGGGCTATTTTGAAAATGTCAAATTTTATTAAGACATTGACAAGGATCAGTGTCTCTAATTTTTAATATTGAAATACTAATAATAATGCACAATTTATATAAAAAAATTTGCTGTTGATGAAAGTAATCTGGAATTATTTTATTAGCTTCAAAGAATATATGTTCAGATTAATCCAATTTATATATTTAAGTTTAAGAGAAATATTCTGTTGATAATTATGCGGGATATATTATCAACGGTTATAATTAATATTTGCGAATAGCCTTAAACGCAATGTGGTTTCAAAAAAAAGTAAAGATGAAATCACAGTATTGCTCAATATTATTTAATGATTAATAAATGTTAGCCGAATATTACATTATAATTAAAAATCTATGAACATAATTTATTCCTTTTGATCGTGGATATAATTTTATGTTCATAATTATTATAATGTGATAATAAAGTATCATGCTTGAAAATATTTAGGGGGAAAAAGAAAAAAAAATGAAATTTCTTGTAAAATTGGCTTAAGGATTGGGAGAAATGAAGTTTTTCATTTATGATATATATTGTATAGAGAGAAGAGACTATGTCTCATAAGGGGGAAGAGTGCTGGATTGAATAGATTATAAAAAGTAAAACAATATATTTATCATTAAGCTGTCGCATTAATTAAAATTTCTTTTTCCAATCGGTTCAAGTTGATTTGATTTTAACAAACGCGATTTTATATTTAGTCAACAAATAATACACATTTTTAGAATTTTTAGAGTCTGAGTCTAGTCCATATTCGATTTAATCTAATTAATATACATAAAACATGATATTATATTATATAAATTGTAGTTTAGGAATTGTCTTATTGTCCTTTTTGCCTATTAAATTCCATTTGTGTCCTTATGTATAAAAAGAAAAAAGACAAAAAAGAAAAAAGACAAAAAAAGAATATATAAGTATAGAGGAAGCCGTGTGGAAGAAAAAAAAACAAAAAAAAAAAAACATGCATCAACGAAACTTAATTTTTAAACTAACTTAATTTTTAGATCACATTTTAGAGACAGCTGAATTGACTAGACTACAGTCTCTACAAAACGAATAAGAGTGATCAGCATTTTTAAGGCAACTAGCACAAAGTGATTATGAAAACTTAACACACGTAACTATTACAATTAAGCTAACTATGTCATCAATTTTAATTAATTAGTACGAGTCATTGATAATGTACATTTTTTTCTTTCTTTCTTTCTTTCATTTTTTTTTCTTTTTTTTTTTTTAACTCTCTATAACGCCACGTAATTCTGAAAGCCACGTGCACTCATAATACATATCTATTTTGTTTCAACGTTACAAAATATTTTACTAAGTATAAGTTATACTTAGTACGTGTAATATAGTTATATTATAAGTTTTACATTATATAAATATTTTTTATAAATACAAAGTAAAAAAAGTATGAAAGAAAATATAGAATTATAGAGAGTTAATTGTATCAAATAGGAAGAATTAGTAAATTTGTATGAATTATTATTTTATTTGAGCACAGTTTTTTTTTTAATTCATTAATTGGCATAATTCCAAGTCGAAAGATTTAAATAGAAGATAATGTAACGCTCAAGTCCGCGAATACATTTATACATATATTATTATCGTATTAGTATCGATTTGTTTCGCATATTTATTTATTTTTTCCGCATTATATAAAAAAAAAAAAAAAAAATAAATTTAATCGAAGGATAAGATAGAACAAACGTGGAGAATTTTCTATACACATATATATATATATAAATTATCTTTCGTCATCGAAGTCTAGCACTTTTCCACCTCTCCCTTTTTTTCTCTATTTTCCAATTCATAATATAGTGTATGTGCATTAATATTTATTAGCTATGATAGGAGTCAGGCATACGCAATAATGAATTAAAAATAAAGGAAAAAATTACAGGAAAAAAAAAAGAAAAAAAAAGAAAAAGAAAAAAAGAAAGAAAGAAAGAAAAAGAAACGGAAAACAAACAGAAAGAGAATTGTGTAAAAAAAGTATTGTCGGACAAAACGAAGAAGAAAAATTATCTCTGAGATGTTGAAATATTTCGGTATTTTATATGAAATTTTGCTCTGTACATAGGATATAGACGACTGAAGAAAGTATTATATATTATCAACAAAATTTATTATTATTATTATTATTATTATTAATTATATCGTCATTATTACTATTACTATTATTATTATTATTATTATTATTATTATTATTATTATTATTATTATTATTATTGTAATAATATTAGTGAGACAAGATGCAAGATTTAAAGCTTCCTATACTCGCGCTCATTTATCATGGCGGAGCATGGGTGGTATTATTATCGTTAATTCATTGAAATTAAAATATGATTCAGTCATTACTTTTTCCCTCCTATATTTCATTGTTAAATATCATTGATTGATAGATATAATTCATTCGTTGTATTATCATTATCATTATAATTATTACTATTATTATTATTATTATTATTATTATTATTATTATTATTATTATTATTATTATTATTATTATTATTATAATTATTATTATTATATTATTATTATACTATAACGTATTATACAGAAATCTATCGCGACGCTTTTTTAGGTTATATTTTTAGGTTATATTTATTAGGTAATATATCCTATCGACTATTTTTTCTTTATTGTATTTTTTTGGTTTTTTTTTTCTTTTTTTTTTTTTAACTTGATTATATCTTTTACACCACCTGTGCTGTGACCCAAAATAATATATACATACATACATACATACGTGTTATATATATATATATATATGTATGTATGTATGTATGTGTATATATATATATACACACACATCATACATATATTAATTCACCAAGTGGATTGATTTTTTCGAAGAGGAAATAAGAAAAAATAGAAATATAATGAGTGCACGTAATAATTGCATTTACGTAAAAGACAGAATTTAAATCGAGAATTTTTTGCTGTATTATTTCCCATGCGTTGCCTTAGCAAGCCGAATGCCGAATTTATGCGAAAGATGTAAATAATATATACGAAAAGAAACGATCTTACATCGTAATTTCGGAGGACATATGTTTGATAATTAAGCTGTAATTATAATCATTGCTGTTTTGCAATCAAACACCAAATCGTATTAATTCAATCAAATTTTTCTGTAATTCATTTTTGAAGAAGATAGTGCGGTGGAGGGAGGGGGAGAAAGAAGAAAAAAAATATGCACTTAACGATATAAATTAGAATACGATGACGATAATGACGATGATGACGATGATGATGATGATGATGATGATAATGATGATGATGATGATGATGATAATGATAAAGAATAATATGAGTTGAAAAGGAAAATAGATACAACAATGTCTTCCCTATTAATCGTATTAAAAAAAAAAAAAAAAAAAAAAAAAAAAAGAAAAAAAAAGAGAAAAAAAGAAAAAAAAAAAGAAAAAGTGTCGTAATATATTAGGTACGTTTTATGGTCGCAATGCTCTGCAATTTAATATACATTCATATATACATAACACACACACACACACATATTTACAACATACATAAATAATTACATATATACGTAGATACACACACACATATATATAAATATATACGTGTGTATATATGTACATATATATGTGTAAGATATTTTACGATTATCTTCTTTCGAACCTTAACGAAGAGTACAACCGTCAGAGATCCATAATTAATGAATTAAATAATGAATTAAATATCAGGAACGTTTGATAAGACATTGTTGTAACACAGATCGTAATAATTATTGTGTTATATGATGGATTCACGATTGACTGATATGCGTATATGTTGTGTATATTATTTTAGGAATAATTTGTAACAAAAGACAAGAAAGACAAGAAAGAAAGAAAGAAAAAAAAAAAAGAAAAAAAACAGAAGAAGAAAAAGAAAAAAAAATTTAATATAATAAATGTAGTACGCGTACGCTCGCGAAAAAGAAAAAGAAAAAAGAGGGAAAAGAAAAGAATTTCCTTTCTTTCAAAAAAGGAAGTTATTTTATTCTTCATATTTGTGCTTTTATTTATTAAGAATAAAAATAGAAAAGAATATAAAGAAGGAAATAGAAACAAAATCAATGCATATGCAATATAAAATCGTATGCGTGCTACATTCGTTCGAAGTATTCAAAATTTCATTGTAAACGCTACGATAGTCGCGTTAAAAACAAACAAACAAAAATATTTAAGCAACCTACACACACACATATATACATACATACATACATATGTACATACGTGCATATATACATATATACGTTCATTGATACACATATATGTACGTATGTGTCTCTTAGTTCGTTTTTATTCTTTTCGTAGTAACATCGGCCAAACAAGTTTTCGGTGTTATTATAATTATTATTATTATTATTATTATTATTATTATTATTATTATTATTATTATAACGACAATAATTTCTAAAGCGATTCTAACGTTATTATCGGCTAATAATCTAATTAATTGAAAAAGAAAATATATAGATGTATCGGCATGCGGGCGTATAGCGCGACAAACCAATTAAAATAAAAAAAAAAAAAGAGATAATCGAGAACAAAAGAAAAAAAGAAAAGAGAAGAAGAAAAATAAACTAAATGAAAAGAAGATAATGTAAAACTTTACGTTAGTTAATTGTATGTATGTGTACGAGCATGTATGTAGGATTTAAAAGAAAATTTTTTCGACGAAATAATTCATTGAAAAAAAAAAAAGAAAAAAAAATAATAGGCAAAGAGCTTTGATAATTGTTAAACAAATAGACCAAACGGGATACGGATGAAGTTAATCGAGTAAAAATGACTGGACAAAAGAACAAAAAAAAATTTTAAAAAGAGAAAAAAGAAAAATGCAAAAAAAAAGAAAAGAAAATAAAAGAAAAGAAAACACAAACAAACAAACAAACAAACAAACCAACACACAAAGACAAAAAGTTTAATTGTAATTGAGAAAGAAAGTCTTCATAACCTATACATAACGCAGATAAACACATATCCATATTCTGCTCACACGACCACGAGATTTTAGAACGTCCTGATATATATATATATATATATATATAAATATATATATATATTTATACATATATATATATAAACATATATATTATATTTCATTTTATAGTGAATAGTTAATGAAATAGTGATTTATATTAAATCTATTCATAGAGAAAGAAGAGGAGAGAGAGAGAGAGAGAGAGAGAGAAAAGAAAGCATTAGATTTATGTAGTGGTAGGACAAATTACAGCGATAATTGTGTACCTGTCCACATCGACCAGATTGATTGATTGATTGATTGATTGATTGATTGATGGCTTTGTTTCTAGAATATATAATGTATAAACATTGACTTAAAATTTATTAAGTCATAATACATTTTTCTTTATGCGAAAACATAATTTGTATTGTTCAGTTTGTTTTGTGTTTTTAATGAAAGAATGATGAACGAATAATGTATTAATAAAAGACATTCAAATATTTTGAGAAAGAAATTAGGGAAAGAAAGAGAAATAATAGAAGTATATATGTATATGTATTAAAAAAAAAAAAAGAAAAAAAAACATTCATACATACATACATACATATGTGTATAAATATATATATATATATATATATATATATATATATATATATATATATATATATATATTTATACATACATATGTCTATATTTAAATAATGTAAAGCAGCTTTGAGGAGGGAAAAAGTAATTTTAAAGAGATAATATACGTGATTGTAAAAAGTATTCTCTCAAGACTTTGTTAGCTCATGAGATTAAGGTAAAGATATATTATGATATATTATATATATACATATATATATATACATATATATATATATCTATATATATATACACATACATAAATTTATTCGTCGATATGTCAATGATATGTTGTTAACCAAAGCTTTAGTGACACATGCATATAGCAACGGATACGAATATTCTTACATGATGGAATTATTATAGAAAATGGTACGATAATGTAACTCGATAAAGAGAAAGTAGTTTTTAAGGAGTATCTCATAAAATGATATTGCATTGATGTTGATTCATTTTATTAATTACTATAACATTATTCATATTTAATACATAAGTGGAGTTATTTTAAATAATAAGTATGAATCTTCATTCCTTGCAAATGTCAATAGGCAGAGACTCCTTAATAATATAGAGACAAATGAATGTTATTTTATTCTTTATATTCAAATCGCGAGACAAGGAAGAGAACTCTGCTGGATATATATATATATATATATATATATATATATATATATATATATATATAAAAGAAATAAAAAGAAAAAGAGAAAAAAAGAGAAATAAAGAAGATAAGAAAAGATAGGACTGAGAGCATTAATGGAAGTAGAACTTTAAAAAAGTATATATATATATATATATATATATATATATATATATATACAGATATACACATACATACATACATATAACTACTGCAGTTGTACATAATGTGTATAACGAAATTTATCTTCGACTTATGAAGCTTTCATTTTAGGAGTTTTTATATAAATACAGTATTGTGAAAATAATTTATGATTTCTCATGTATAATTTACAACTTATATTTTTAAGCACGATTAGCTCTAAACTTACTGTACATATTACATTCTCGTAATAAAACCTACCTGAAATAATATATGCATATATATATATATATGTTATATATATGTATATATATATATATGCATGTGATAGTGAAGGTAGCCAAAGTGTTGATTAATTTTCTCCACTTCCAAATATATTTATATATATATATATATATATATAAAAAAAGGATTAAATGATTCAAACTGATTGCAGTGAAATTTTACAAAAATTATATTACTATATACATTAACAGCACATTACGGTACAACAATGTATAGTCCTCTCTCTCTTTAGTTCTTAGCTTTATACAAGATAACATTAATCTATCCTTAAAAGACATATGTGAAGTATCATTGTTACTTCTTCATACAATATTATTATTCCTTTGATCTTGAATAGATAACGTTATACATTGTACCTTACTAGTTGAACACAATTATTATTATTTTTTTTTGTTGTTTTTTTTTTTTTCTTCGAACAGAGAACAAAGTATACT